CGAGCAGGCACAGTAAAACAAATTGCATTTTTTTCTTTGGCATGTAGGCTAGTAAACTGGATTTGACTGGCTTGAGCCACAGGCAGTGCTATCACTTAAGGTTTCGCTTGATAATGGACAGGAGGAGCAGGTCTTGCTTGATGAGGGCTAAGCAGCTCCTGGCTGAGTTGGTTATCACAGTAATTAAGAGCAAAGATTTCATAGTCTGACAGATGTGAGTCTGATGTGTGGCTCTCACACCTAGTAGTTTGTGACCTTGACAAAAGTTATTCAATACCTCACAATTTCCTTATCCATAAAATGGAATAATCTGCTTTATAGAATTGTTGCAAGGCTTAGCTGAAAAAAATATACATGAAAAGAGCTTAGCCTAGTGTTTGCCCTGATAAACTCTGACTACATTTCAGGTCAATCATTGGAATCTGCTAAATCAATGTTATTGTAGTTAGGTGCCATACAGTCGGTTCTGACTCATAGAGAGCCTGTAGGGGCTCCACTAAATCATGAGTGGTATTTAAAATTATAGACCCCTTACCATAGTACTGGAAACCCTGGTGGTGTAGTGGTTAAGTGCTACGGCTGCTAACCAAAATGTTGGCAGTTCAAATATACCAGGCGCTCATTGGAAACTCTATGGGGCAGTTCTACTCTGTCCTTCAGGGTCACTAGAGTCAGAATCGACTGGACGGCAGTGGGTTTGGTTTTTTGGTACCATAGTACTTGTCATATGATGCTAATTGATTGACCTCAAATAGTAAACTTCAGTTGATTTGTTCCCGTAGTCCCTAAAAAGAGCCTATAACTCTACTGCAAATATCCACAAACAATAATGTACTTTATTTCATGAACCAGTGCTGGAGGGCTTTTGCCTATACCGTTCTGTTCATATTCAAATACGTCGCTCCTAAATTCGCATAAAGAAGCGGGGATTCTAAAAAGAGTTGGGGCGCTGGTGTCAAAAGAGTATCTAGGTTCGATCTACAAGTTCCTTTATTTACTATCTGTGTGATTAGAGGCAAGTCATTTGACCTCATTGGGCTTCAGTGTACTCATCTGTAAAATGGGGCCTAATTATCTACCCTTTAAAGGTGTTTGAAGGTTAGATTGAACCCAGTACTTGGATAATATTCATAATCTTTCCAGTTTTGAAGGACTTTGCGTAAGACTGAGTTGAGAGAACTAGGTGGAAAATGTGTTTGGCAACTCCTTATTCTCCATTTTCAAACATAACAATCACATTCTAGCTATGTAAATAGTTCCTTTTAGAATGCGTGTTGATGTAAAGTGACAGGGGAGCTAAGGTTTTTTTGTTCTTTTAGATTCACGTTCCAGTCTAGGAGAGACACTCTTCAGAGCCAGTCTTTGACTGAGTCATTGCAGAATGATTTTAAACAGCTGTCCTACTGAATGCATGGGAGTCAGCCATTCATCTGCAACATCTGGGCACTGGTGCCATCTTCCCAAGTCTGCTCCAAAGGCTGGCTTCTGGAAGCCAAGAGCTGTGTGGGTACTCCCACCTTGTGACTTACTCTTTCATAGGCTGGAACCAGTGTAAAGGCTGAATTTTGAGACTGCATTCTAATTTTAAGTAATAAGAGACAAAAGTGATTAATGTGAGTGCTCATTGTTTCCAGCATTCACTCCCACTTCTCAGTTTGAGGAATTATGCAATTAGTCAGACCAGTTCATTTTTCTTTTATGATGGAGATTGAGAATGGGGAGATGAAAGGAATGGAAGTTTTAGCGAAAAGAGACTGGATCAGTCTAGATAATAAAGAACTTCCAGAAAGGGTGGGGGAGAGGAGGAATGTTTTTTATTTTTTCCTTTTTTTTTTTTTGAAGTGCCTACATACAACACGGAAACCCTGGTGGTGTAGTGGTTAAGAGCTACCGCTGCTAACCATTAGGTCTGCAGTTTGAATCCACCAGGCACTCCTTGGAAACTGTATGGGGCAGTTCTACTCTGACTTACAGGGTCGGGATGAGTCGGAATCAACTCGACGGCAAAGGTTTGGTTTGGTTATATACAACACGGAGCCCTGGCAGCGCAGTGGTTAAAAGCTACGGCTGCTAACCAAAAGGTCAGCAGTTGGAATCCACCAGCCGCTCCTTGGAAACCCAATGGGGCAGTTCTACTCTGTCCTGTAAGGTCACTATGAGTCGGAATGGACTCGATGGCAATCAGGTATACAACACAGCTCAATAACTTGTTTGGTTAAATTTAGTCAAAAGTATTTATCTTCCTTAGTATGTTTGGCCCATAGTAACACTGCATTACTTTTGTCAAAGAGAAAAATCAGTAACAGACATCTTACTTTGATTTTAAGGTCTTTCTTACCCATGAAACCAAATATTAACCATAAATAAATTCCTGACCCAAAATTAATCCCGCCAGTGGCTTTTTTTCACCCAAAGTTGCTAATCTTTTCTTTCCTGTTCAAATCAGGCTTACTTAATTTAAATTTCAAAAAGTATCATGGCTGCAGGTGGGTAGAGGGCCAGAGACCACCTTGTGACTTGGTATCAGTTGATTTCAGTAAAAGGGGAGGCCAGGGTTCAATCAATGGTGTTAAGATTAGCCAGTGGTTGATCTTCTATTCTCCTCCTTTTCTCTTTACAAGCTTCATTGTAACTAGCCTACTTTGAGCCATTTGTTTTTTGTTTTTTTAGAATCAGAACGGTCTCCCTATATGCATGTAGGATAACTGCTCAAAATAAACCTTACGTTTAAATTTCTTTTAGTTTGGTCGTTTTTAATTGTTTTAATTAAATGGCTTATAGGACAATATAAGGCTAAGAAAAATTAATAATTATAAAAATTGTAAGATTAAAAAAAATCCCTACTTCTATCACCCTAACACATCATACCTCACTTTTAGTTTCCACATGTATAAAAACCAAGCCAGTTGCTGTAGAGTCAACTCTGACTCATGGCAACCCTCATGTGTGCTCCACAGGATTTTCAATGGCTGATTTTTGGAAGTAGTTCACCAGGCCTTTCTTCCCAGGTGCCTCTGAGTGGACTGGAAATTCCAACCTTTTGGCTAGCAGCGCCAAGCGCATTGAGGATTTGCGACACCCAGGGACTCCTCCACATATATAAAAAAAACATTGCTGTCGAGTTGATTCCAACTCACAGCGACCCTATAGGGCAGAGGAGAACTGCCCCATAAGGGTTTCCAAGGAGCGGCTGGTAGATGCTAACCTTTGGGTTAGCAGCCGAACCCTTAACCACTGTACCATCAGGGCTCCCTCCACATGTATATCCACCCTTTATTCAGGTGTAATCACAATACAGTTCTGCTGGGGAATAGTGAAGCAGTAGTATTTGCAGTGACAATTCATTAACAATTCTATAGCATCTAGACACTAATGCTGCCCTATAATACCATCTTCAAGGACAGTCAGTCTCCATGACCCTGCCCACTCCTTGGTGCACATTTTTTTTTGTACCACTCATTTGATGCTCAATCACATACTGCTTAGAAGCTAAAAAATCTCATGCTATTACACAACAATATAGCAGGGAGAGGGGACCCACTGTATTGAGAATTTGGAAATAAGGATTTCAGCGCAGTCTGTCCTGACTTGCTGTGTGACCTGGGACAAGCTCATTTTACCTAAGAATTAGCTTCTTCAGCTATAAAATGCAGGCTCTGAAACTAAAACCACTAAGGACTCTTCTTGGCCATAGAGTTCTTACTATTATACTTTTATTTTTTTGTAATCCCTTTCACAAATTGCACTTTAACAACACACTTTATGTCAGTTCATTATTTTAATATCTGTGTGAATGAATGTCAACCCAGATATTTTCTCCAGGCAGCCTTCTCAGGCATGGGTTCCCAGATGGATTAGGTGTGGTGCCTGTGCCTCTATAACGAGAAATGTGGACTGATCTGTAAAATATTATATTATTCTTATTTATATTTATTCTTGTCCACTAAGCTATAATTTCCTCAAGGGACTTACAAGTTATATAAGTTCCAACACTTAAACACCACCTGGGCAACATTTCGTTCTGTTATACAGGCAGTCCGTGAAGTTACGAACCATCGACTCGCAGTTATGAACCAGCTCCCTTAAAAATTCGAGGTACAGGCACCAAGGAGTGGCCAGTCACGCTACTCACACGTTTCCCAGTAATCCCCTGCCCCCCACCTCCAACTGTGAGGGGCGCACCGGGTTTCCAGTGAGCAGCTGCTGGATTCGAACTGCCAACCTTTTGGTTAGCAGCCGAGCTCTTAACCCCTGTGCCATCAGGGCTCCGCACTGGGTATAGGGGCGGGGGGGAGGGGCAAATTATTTGCCCCCGGCCTACCACAGGTTCTCCCTTCGCTTCCCAGAGGACTGACTGCGTCCGATGCAGCGCAGCGCTTCGCGAGCCGGAGACCAGGTAATGAGGCCCCCGCCCGGTCCAGACGCCTCACGCCCACCCCGCGGCTGACCCGACCGCCCATAAAGTGCCCTCGAGCGCAGAATGCTCCCAAAATGCTCGGTTTCTGACGCCCCGCACGGAAGCGCTCAGAGTTGAAAGCGGGATCGGGGAGTGGGAAGGCGGGAATGTGGCAGATGAACAATCAATGGCTTAGCGCATCCCATTCACCGTCTATGCTGGCACCAGCTGGTGGCAGCATCTTTAGATACAACCTCAAGGAAGGCAAAAGCAGGCTGGGGGTCCGGAAGCCCCGCGCGGCGCTCGAGCCTCCAGATGCTCTGGGCTGTATGAGGTTCACTTATGACGAAGTCCTCCATTAACACCTGCCCCATTTTGACAGGCTGGATGGGCAAACGCAGCTCAGAGCGTGTTCTCAGTGCCCACATGTGTCCACAGTCCACCCTCCCTCTTCCCCCTCCCCATTAGAACCGTACCTGTTTACGTACAAATTCGGTCTAAAGGCAGATTTAGGAATGGAACTTGTTAATAATACGGGGACTCTTGTACGTAAGATTGTCAGGAACCCAGTAGATGGCAACTAACAACAACAAGCATAGGTATTTATTGAAATGAATGAATGAAGTTCCAGTACCAGAAACTTCTGCAGTAAAACTATGGCCTTTTTCAGAAAGTAACTGGTACAAGTGGACCAGTAAGGAATCTGAGTCTTACACTGCTGTTAAATTTTAAAGGAAATGTCTAGAATTAAAGTAGGCAAGACACTCTTTACATAAAATTTATAACATTTATTTAGGCAAAAAAAAAAAAATCCCCAAACAAAAATCTGTACACACATTAACACTAAGTGATATCGTGATTTAAAATGTAGCATGATTCTTGTACAGAACACACCCATTCATCTGGCAACAGTGGGAACAGAGCCCTCAGTCCAGATAATTGAGAGCCTTTGAAATGTACACACATTACGCTTTCCTATGAATTTGTTATATCCTTTGAAAGGAGTTAAACACAATTCAAGCGAAGGACAGTGCGAACAAAAGTCAGTAGGGATTTGACAGTGGGAATTCTACAAGGATTTATTTTATTCTTGCAGATTATCTGAGAGTATAAATCTTAACATCCTCTCATTAAAGGGGAAAAAAGCTCTCAAGAATTTTTTATAAATGCTTCTCTCAGCGTTTATTGGCTAGGTAACTTCTTGCTTCTAAGCTGATTCAAATAAGCCTAAAAGAACACAAATTTGAACAGTTTTTCCAAAAGCAAGTCAAAATCAAGCACATACTCTTAACTAGTTTTTATCATTTCTCATAAAATAATTTTGATAAATTTGGATTTTCTAAATATTCTTAATAGCCACTCTGTCTAGCTATAAAGTTAGGTTGTCCAAATGAGTTTTGCTTCACCCAGAGTAATGAAAAACATCATTGATCGTCACATAATTTACCGAAAAAATTAGGGTGGGGAGAAACAAGCAGAGAAAGCTTTCTTAAGACTACCTGTCAGTTAACATACATTGTCTAGGTTAAGATCTGATAACCGAAAAATGCGTAATTAGGAGAGTACCGTGTCATGCTAAGTCTGTGAAATACTACATAATTACTCATTAGAAGCACATTCAACAAATTTTTCTATCATATTACTATTCTCATCACGGGACCAAGGCTGGTTTTGCATTATTCCCAAAACAAACAATTCATGAGTTAACACTAAAAAATTAAAAATGCAATGACACACAGCAAACAGTAAAGGCTAAACATCCAATATTCACACAATCATTTGAAACTGCTACAAAGGATTTGAGAAGGAAACCAGAAGTTCCCAAACCTCTCTGGAAGCTGTCTCAGGACACCACTCTGAAGACCCAGCAGTAAAGCCGTCCCCAAGTAAGTAATATACAGATAAAAGTAGAAGAGCCCACATCAGCTGACACTGTGATACTGTCTTTAACTTTTGTCTTCAGGTTAATAATACTGTTTCTCCTAAGATAAAAGTTGTACAGTAAGCAAATAATGTAAACAAACCATTAGCGGGCAGGAAAGGAGGTATGTTTCACCATATACAAAACAAAAAGTTTCCCTGCTACTACTTATGATCTCTCTTCAACCTTGGGTACTGCTGCCCATTGTTCTAAGGGGGGGTAACGCATTTTAAAACACTAAGCCAAAAAAAACCCTGGTGGCACAGTGGTTAAAGCACTCAGCTGCAAACCAAAAGGCCTGCAGTTTGAACCTGCCAGCCGCTTCGTGGGAGAAGATGTGGCAGTCTGCTTCCATAAAGATTTATAGCCTTGGAAATTCTGTGGGGGAGTTTTGCTCTGTCTTATAGGATCCCTATGAGTTGGAATCAACTCGATGTTAGTGGGTTTCGGTTTAAGCCAAAACTGTGTTTCATTATTGTATTACTGATGTGTTTTATACACAATTCTGTAAGGGCTTATTTTGCTTTAGTGAGAACTTCTACAAAGAGCTGGAGCAGAAAAAAAAATTAGAGATCAAGATGACCTCAAAGCAAGGTTTCCCCAGGTAAAGATGTCCACTAAGAAGCAATATCCAATTGCTTTAAAATTTGAAAGTAATCTGACACACACTCACAACCTTACCTTAGCACATAAAATATGTTCTTATTATAATGAGCTCCACAGGGCTAGATGACTGCCCCAGTGCTATCTTGAGGTATGGCATAATTAAAAGCACAGCTAAATTAAAGTAGCTGGGGAGAAAACAGGCCAACCCAAAAGGGTCCATGAGTAAGAGCAACTTCTTAAAGCTGAATATATAGGATTGATGTTTTTAAACATGAATCCTGGATTCTTTGGAAGTTTGAAAATAAAAGATATTGTGAAAGCAAACCCCTGTATAAGTGTTAAGGTGATTCACCTTGACCTTGGATGATCCACATAAATTGACTAGTGCCATTAAGCAGCATTTCTGTCCAGGGGTGAGGGTAGCAATTCCTGAAATTGTGGGTCTGGTAGGCATTTGAAAATCTTCAATTAATTATCAGTAGCCACTGAATCCCTGGCCAGAGGGGAAACTAGCTTATTACTACTTGATTTCTTTTTCAAATGCAAAAACAAAAAAATAAAGTATAAAGGCCACAGCAAAACTTACTTGATGGAAAGAGTAAGATGACTTAATTATTTTTGCCCCAATTTCATACCGTTTTTGTTTTTCTCAATGATACCAACATGCATCACTATGCGCTAAAAAGTCTAATTCCATTTCCTTTAGTAGATCTAAACCTTGCTGTTGCTTGTGCATTATCTTGTAATTACCAGCTGCCGTCAAGTTGATTCCAACTCACGGTGATCCCATGTGTGTCAGAGTAGAACTGTGCTCCACAAGGTTTTCAATGGCTGATTTTTTGGAAGTAGACTGCCAGGCCTTTCTTCCGAGACACCTGTAGGTGGACTCCAACCTCCCACCTTACGGTTAGCAGCCTAGAATGTCAATCATTTGTACCACCCAGGGACTCCTAGTGATGTTTTAAAATATCTGAGTGCACCAATGATTTGAGCAATGAGTGGTTCATCCCGAGTCTAAATTGTGCTTGAAATAGCACCTGTAAGCCACTTAAATGGTAACCCTTGAAGGCACCAAGTACTGTTACATTCTAGTATACAAATGCAAAAGGGAGGCCTAATAGATCCTCATAGAGACTGGCCAGTTATGCCTCATAATTTCAATATATACATACACTATATTTTACCCAGATCCAAGACCATAGAGACATTTGTGCCTTAATCATATACATAGTTAAGAACCATCCCAACCACAAAGGCACTAAAATTTTTAGGTACTTAAGATATGACCAATTATTTTGCTTTTAAGACTCAAAAGTACCTGGCCACTACTGATGCTCAAACTAGTAAACTTTAATTTTAAATATTTTTGAATCTTCACCTATCAACAAGTTATTGTTCAAGTTAACTGTTTTCTGTATATTTTTAGCCATTTCTGAGAACAATTTGTAAAGACAAAAATCTGGCATTAACCTATAAGGAACATGTACTTTTGCCTTGAACAGTGTAAAACAGAAATGTAAAGCCAAACTTCTTAAATAGGCTTTCCCTTAACTACACTAGGTAGGAGACCTGGGAATAGTCAACATAGCTAGCAACTTCCAAGCTACTATAGGCCTGTTCTATTTTCTGCATTCTGCCTTAGACATTAAAATTCAGCAAAAAAGTTAAAAAAAAGTATTTTCCATTTCCTCTGAAACAGATTTAAAACCTATAAAAATTTCTTAAACCATGTAAGTCAGAATTAACCTACAATTTAATGTTTTTTAATGGTTTTAAATACCTGTTTTCTATTTTTTCAGTTTTCAGCCCTGTTAAGAAGCTCCAAATAATTCAAGTCTGATTATCGTAAAAGTGGTATGAAACATGTCAAAATGTTATCAGCATACTAATAAACTAGCTCCTCTTTAACTAAAAATGCTTCTGAGTAATTACTACAATTTAAATACACCATTTAAAATATCAATTAACAACGTTTTGGCCATCTATGAAAAAAATGTGGTCTTCTGAGATTGCAGATTAACCTATTCACAAAATGTAATTTAAAATGGAAATTTCTTGGTGACTTGCTGCCTCCCAACTGCTATCATTAATATAATAACTGATTCTTACCATACTGTAACAGGTACCTTAAAGGAAAGGCAACTGCCTAAAAACAAATCCATCAAAAACATTTCCTCTTATGCACTGAAACTAGAATCATTACATTTAACAATAGCTGAATTCTCTGCTTTCATTTTTTACAGTGAGGTGTGGACATCTTTCTCCAACGTGAACAGATTCAGAAGATACACACATTTTAAACAAAAGAAAATTTAACTTCTCATGGCAAAATTTACTGTTGTCAATCGTGTTTTAACTGAGCAGGTGACACCATCTATAGTCTCTATTCCACTGAACAATAATGACTTTGAAATAGAGAGAAAAGAATGGCCAGTTTTAACCAGAGAAAGTTTTATCAAAATTCACATTTTCACAACAATGCGACACGTTGAGATTCAGACAGTTTTTAACACAGAATACTGTAATATTTTACACTGTGATGCTTGGGGAAACATCTCTATAGAGTACCCAGCGGTCTGTGCAGGAAGCAGCAGTCCATGGCTTCCACACATAAGTATGGAGAACAAACCACTGCTCACTGCCTCAGGAGACGTGGGCCCCAGAATGATAGCCTATCCCATTTTAAAAACTATCCCACGAGAACACATCTTTTCCCAGTCTCTAAACTCTGTTCTTTCTTAATAGATTTTCTTTTGAATATATTTTTCTGCCAGCCATCCAGGGTCCAGCCGGTGAGTAGCTTCCAGGAGGAAAGGATTCAGATTTCCATTCTTTCACGCTAAGAAGGACATCTTATAAAAGATACACAGACATAGAATAAAGGTATTTTATACAGAAGGAGTATAAAATTTACAACTAAAGCGGTGCCAGAAATCAGGTTAACAGCTTATCTGAAGCTGCAAATTGATTGGAAGGGACTCTGAAATCAGAAAAGTCTGGCCTAAGGGTTCGTGCAAACTTTATCATAAAACTGTAGAATCTCAAGCACAGATAAGTTCAAACACTGAAAGATGTGGAAAATTTTCTAAAAGGCAATGATGAAGGAAGAGACCCTTCATGCCTCATAAGTTAAAAATCACAAATCAGAGACTGTTCATATGGGCAGCACTGTGTATCGTCAATCCTGAACTGATGCTATGACTCTTGTCATAAGAAACCCCCAGACATCATAGAGACTAAGATATCTCAAATGAAGCAATGACAAAAATGACTCCTGTGATTCAATGACCCAATTACCTATGGCTATCAATTTAGTCTGGCCTGGGGCTGCTTTTTACAGGGAGGTGGCCTCCCATGACGCACAATGTGTTTTTCTAAGCTGTCCAGAATGGCCACAGCAATTTGCTGGACATGGGGATCAGTCTGTTCATGTTCTTTGATGTTGTATAGATGCTGCAGTCCTCCTTCTTCAATCAGCATACTGCAGTACCTTGAGGCTGAAAGAAAACAGAAAGAGCTTGAAACATGAAAAATACCCCACAAAAAATCAGTTCTTAGGAGCATTTTCCACTACATTTTACCTTTTGTTTCTTTAAATTTTGTTTTGATCACTAATGGGCTATAGTTTGATAAATACCTCTGTGATGATGTATACACTACAAAACACAAAGTAGACATTCAATAAAAGTCTGTTAAACTTTGAAAGAATCCAAAATGAATGAAATGTCCCAACACAAATAATACACATACCTAATATTTAAGTGTTGGGACTTTTAATATACATATATATGTACGTGTGTATATATAAAAGAGCCCTAGTGGCACAGTGGTTAAAGCAACAGACTGCTAATCGAAAGGTCGATTAGTTGAAAATCACCAGTGGCTCCATGGGAGAAAGATGTGGCAGTCTGCTTCCGTACAGATTTACAGCCTTGGAAACCTTGAGTCAGAATCAAAACGACAGCAGTGGGTGGTGTGTGTATGTGTGTATATATATATACACACACATATACACACGTGCATATATATACACACACATACATGTAGAGGGTCAGAGAAAAAGAGGAAGACCCTCAATGAGATGGACTTACACAGTGATGCAACAATGGGCTCAAGCGTAACGATTGTGAGGATGGCGCATATATATGTGTATATGTTTTGATTTGCATTTTCCTAATGATTAATGAGGTTAAGCATCTTTTGCATGCTTATTGGCCATCTGTGTATTTTCTTTGGAGAACGTCTATTCAGATACTTTCCCCATTTTTAAATTGGGTTATCTTATTATTGAGTTGTAAGAATTCTTTATATATTCTGAATACAAGTTCCTTGTCAGATATAATTTGCAAATATTTTGTATTATTCTGTAGGTTGTCTTTTCACTTTCCAACAGTATCATTTGAAGCATAAAAGTTTAAATATTTTTAATAAGTCCAATTAATCTGTATTTTCTTTTGTGGTATGTGCTTCTGGTGTCATATTTAAGATATCCCTACTTAATCCAAGGTCATGAAGATTTACACCTAGGTTTTCTTCTAAGATTTTTATACACTTAGTTCTTACATTTAGGCCAATGATCTATTTTGAGTTAATATTTTTATATGGTGGGAGGCAGGGATCCAGTCTTTTTCATGTGGCTATCCAGTTGTCTCAGCACTGTGTGTTGAATAAACTATTCTTTCCCCATTGAATGGTCTAGGCACCCTTGCCAAAAATCAAATGACCACTGATGAACAGTTTTATTTAGAGCCTCTCAAGTCTAATCCATTGATCTATGTCTTAGTCATCTAGTGCTGCCATAACAGAAATATCACAAGTGGATGGTTTTAACGAAGAGAAGTTTATTTCCTTACAGTAAAGTAGGCTAAAAGTCCAAATTCAAGGTGTCAGCTCCAGGGGGAGGCTTTCTCTCTCTCTCGGCCTTCTCATCAGTGTTCCCCCACACTAGGAGCTTCTCTGAGCAGGGACCCCGGTCCAAAGGATGCGCTCTGCTCCCAGCACTTTCTTGATGGTATGAGGTCCCCCTGTCTCACTGCTCACTTCTGTCTTTTATATCTCAAGAGATTGCCTCAGGACACAATCCAGTCTTGTAGATCAGGTCCTGCCTTACTAACACAACTGCCACCCATCCTCCCTCATTAACATCATAGAGGCAGGTTTACAACATACAGGAAAATAACACAGTACCAGGAATCATGGCCGAGCCAAACTGATACACACATTTTTTGGGGGACATAATTCAAACCATGACAATCTATATGTCTATCCTTATGCCAGTACCACACTGACTTTATTACTGTAGCTTTGTAGTAAGTTTTAAAATTGGGAAGTGTGAGTCCTCAAACTTTGTTCTTCTTTTCCAAGATCATTTTGGCTCTTTTGGGTCCCCTGCATTTCCATCTGAATTTTAGGAACAGACTGTTAATTTCCACAAAAAAAGGAATCTGGAATTTTGATAGGAATTGCCTTTAATCTGTAGATCAATTTGGGGAGTTATGTCATCATAACAATATTGTCTCAATCCATGAACATGAGATATCTTTCCATTTATTTTGGTTTTCTTTAATTTCTTTTGGCAATATTTTATAATTTTCTCTGTATAAGTCTTGCACTTCTTTTGTTAATTTTATTCCTAATATTTTATTCTTTGTAATGCTAATGTAAATTGAATTTCTTAATTTCAATTTTGGATTGTTCATTGCTAGTGTATAGAAATACAATTGGTATTTTATGTTGATTTTATATCCTGCAACCTTGCTGACCTCGTTTATTGATTCTAGTTTTTTTTTGTGTGTGGATTCCTCAGGATTTCCTATGGATAAAAAATCATATTTTCTACAGATTGAGATAGTTTTACTTCTTCCTTTCAAATCTGGATGCCTTTTATTCCTTTTACCTGCCTAACTGCCCTGGCTATAACCTCCAGTACAATGTGTAATGTTGACTAGGAGACAGCAGAGATTCTTAGGGGAAAGATACGAATTTTTCAGAAATGGTCTTTATCTGGTTGAGGAAGTTCCCTTTTATTCCTAGTTTGTTGACTGTTGTTATTATGAAAGAGTGTTATTTTGTCAAATAGTTTTTTGTGTCTATTGAGATGATCATGTGATTTTTGTCCATTATTACCATATTTTTATGCAAATAACACATACCTTCTGTGTTTGTTTGCCAATTGCTCCCTCCCCCACCATGAGGTATTTTCTTAAGCACATTATGCTAATTTTTTTTACAGCAACATGTAAAAAAAAATTGGCTTAGCGGCACTTATGAAAATACCTCACGGGAAAGAGAGTGGTTGGCAAACAAATGTAGAAGGTGTGTATTATTTGCGTAAAAATGCAGTATATTAAGAAGATGTATTATATTGATTTTCATGTGTTCAATTAAGCTTGCATCCCTGGGATAAATTCCACTTGGTCAAGATGTATAATCCTTTTTATATGTTGGCTGGATTCTATGTGCTAATATTTTGCTTACGATTTTCTGAGTCTATATTCATAAAGGATACTGGTCTATAGTTTTCTTGTGAAGTCTTTGTCTTGTTTCGGTATCAGGGTATACTGGTCTTAAAGAATGAACTAGGAAGTGCTCTCTCCTCGCCTTTTTTGGGAAGAATTTGTGAAGGATTGGTGTTAGTCCCTTATCTTTTTTTTTTTCTAAACAACTTTATTGAGATATAATTTACATGTAGTTCACCCATTTAAAGTGTACAGTTCAGTGGCTTTTAGTATATTCACACAGCTCTGTATCCATCACCACAATCAATTTTAGAGTCCATTAAATTTTAACATCAAGAAAAGGTCCCCACGGTTGAGAAGGGACAGTGTTGACATGTTGTAGGGTTGTTAACCATTGTCATAAAACAACATGTACTAACTGTTTAATGAGAAACTATCTGTCCTGTAAACCTTCATCTGAAGTACAATTAAACAAAAAATGAAAAGGTCTTTTGCGTTGACCAGAAAATATCTTAATTTGGACTCGTGGACCACAACTACCACAGCCTCCATCAGACCAAGTCCAGCACAACTAGATGGTGCACAGCTATCACCACTAACTGCTCTAACGGGGATCACAACAGAGGGTCCCGGACAGAGCTGGAGAAAAATGCAGAACAAAATTCTAACTCACTCACACACAAAAAAAGACCAGACTTACTGGTCTGACAGAGACAGGAGAAACCCCGAGAGTATGGCCCCCGGACACCCTTTAACTCAGTACTAAAGTCACTCCTGAGGTTCACCCTTCAGCCAAAGATTAGACAGGCCTATAAAACAAACAATAACACACGTACTTCAACAATGTATAAGACACTAAATGGGAACACCAGCCTAGAGGCAAGGACAAAGAGGAGAGGAAAGGAAAGCTGGATGAATAGAAACGGGGAACCCAAGGTTGAAAAGGGGAGAGTGTTGACACGTCACGGGGTTGGCAACCAGTATCACAAAACACTATGTGTATTAATTGTTTTATGAGAAACTAATTCGCTCTGTAAACTTTCACAGAAAACACACACACACAAAAATGTTAAGTTCACTTTTATTTTTGAAGGAATTTTTTGTTGAATACAGGTAATCCCCAACTTAGGACGTGTTTGAGTTATGATGAACTGCACTTACGACCATCTGCTTTTTTTACACATCCTGTCATCAGTAATATGTACTACATACAATGTTGCAGCACATCATTTGTTGATGTTATCATTTCCAGATGTTCATTTGAAGATGTTCAATGTTATGATTTATAAAGATACTGATAATAAAAAGCAGTAATAATGAGAACAACGAAAAGAAGTATTCAATTTATGTCAGAACTGACTTATGACAGAGTCATTGGAACTGAACCCTATTACGTATCAGGCACTACCTGTATTCAATTTCAGATTAACAGGTTTTTTTTCTCCTTTTAGTACTTTACAGATGTTATTCTCTTCTGATTTGCTTTACTTCTGACGAAAAGTAAGCAGCCATTTTTTTTTTTTTTTTAACATCTTTAAAACCCAAAAACCAAACCTGTTGCTGTCCAGTGAGGTGTAATTGAAATACACTTTATTTCTCTTAAGTAAATGCTTAGGGAAGGTATGACTAGGTCACATAGTAGATATGTATTTAAAGAAATAAAAAAACTGAAAAATTGCATTTCAAAGTGGTTACTAACATTTTACATTTTCACCAGTAGTGTCTGAGAATTCTAATTTTTCCACATCTTCAATAATACTTCTATTTTTAAATTTTAGACACTAATAGATGTGTAGTAGTATCTCATTGGGTTTTTTGTTGTTTTAACAGCTTTTTGAGGTATAACTGACAAAGAATAAACTACATATATTTAAAATATTTGTTTTTTAATTATTTTGTTGTTGTTGAAAATATATACAGCAGAACATACACTAATTCAACAATTTCTACATGTACAATTCAGTGGTATTAATTACATTCTTCAAGTTGTCCAACCATTCTTACCCCCTTTTCCAAACTGTTCCTCCTCCATTAACATA